TTTTGCTTAAGGACTAACAAATCTATTAAGTTTTCTAACCATTTTGTTTTGTAGAGTTAGAAAAACGTTTGTGGGTATCGTATCTGTTAAACCCTCAGGAGACACAACTCCTCCTACTAGGGATGCCTAGAGGTTTAAAGGCTTGTTGCATACGCTCAATGCAATCGAGTTACCTACGAAAGTGGTCTAGTTAACTTCTTGTTTTGTTTTTATCTTTGTTTTTCTTTTGTTTTGCTCGAGGACTAGCAAAATCTAAGTTTGGGGGTGTGTTAAGCTCATATTTTCATACATATACATGCCCAATTTCCTTACTTCTTTTGCTTAGTTTCCGATAATTCTGAGTTATTTGCCTCTCTTTGTGTGTTTTGTAGGCCAATAGAGCAAGAGAGCATAATTCATGCAATTCAAGTATGTTAAGGCCTGATTTGGATGAATGGATGAAGAGCTTAAAGACAAACTCATTTTGGCTACAGCCCCCTGCCAGTCCAGTTCCGTAGGTCATAATGCAAGCTTTGTTTCAGCGACCTACACAGCTCGGATGAGGTAGCATTCTTCATGAAAGTTGTTCCAATGGGTGTATACTATAACATATCCAAACTGCAGCCTCATTGGATAAATATGGAGTCTGTTACCTAGCAAACACAGAACCATGCTCAGGATGGAATTTTGTCAGCGAGCAAAACGAGTTAGCAAATTGTTTCGGCCTTAACTTCCTCCTCCGACCTTGGATTGGCCCAAATGATATATGGCTGGAAAGAAGACATTCTGAACTTCAAGTTTGAGTGCTTAAAGTCCTAATTTGATTAAGGGAAGCCCAATTCGTAAGCCCTTGAAGTTTCTGGTCATGCTGACCTCAGGATGAGCTAATGTTTCTGGTTGGATGCTTGGTCATGGTGAGCTAGGCATGAGCTATTGTAGCTGGTTGGAAGCTTGGTCATGCTGACATGAAGATGAGCTAGGGCTGCTGGTGGGATTTATTGGGGAAGTGCATCATCCAATTCAGAGTTTCTAATACAAGTGCATCAACCATTTCAGATTTTATAATACAAGTGTTGTATGCATTAGTCTTATTGAATTCTGATTCACTTAACCCTTGTGCCTATAAATAGGGAGTCTCTAGAGTCAGAAATAGAGTTCCATCATTCACACTTCCATTGTACACAAAGAGAGGGAAAGTTGAGAGTCACAAAAGGAGAGAAGGGAGAAGGCAGCAGCTGGGAGGCTTTGGCCTCCTGGCAGCCATGGAGATGAATCTTTTCCATCTCTAGCATGCTGTCCTTATCTTCTTCTCCTCCCTTTGTCTTTTATTTTCTTCTTGTATTTCCTTTGTTTTACTTTGTCTGTTCTGTTATTAGTTTTAATAAACATCTTGCTAGTCTTGTACAATGGTTTGAGTTTATAAAGTTTGATTTCATTCATGAATTCTTCTTCACTATTTTAATGGAGCTGTTTTTTGCATCCTTTGATTGATCACCTGAGGTTTTATGCATTTTGCTCTTGTTGGGAAGGTTTGGGGATCATCTTCATTCCATCCATTAGCAACTCATGTGATTTGGTTTCTAGGTCTCCTAATGTAAACACCATGCTTGGGGTCCTTGTGATGTTCAATGCAATTTGATCCAAACACTATGGACTTATTTGTGAGCATCTTCATGAGTGAATCAATTTGTTTACTTGCTGCCATAACATGATTAGAACAATTAGGGTGGATTCTAAAACAACACCATCTTGTCCTAGTTACTTTCTTTCTTCTTGTTTTGTTTCTTTTGTTTTCACTTTTGTTTTGTGTAGGAAAACTGAGTTGGATCATTCAATCACCAATCCCTGTGGAATCGACCTCGCACTTACATACGCTAAACTACCAACGGTTCGTGCACTTGCGAGTATCACAAGTTGAGGATGCAACTGAATCCATTTTGGTGCAGCTGTATCTACACAACAGCCGGTTTCACCAATTATGGTTTGGTATATGGTTCCCAAAATAGTCAACTCAAGGCCTTCGATTTGGTGTTCGAGTTGGGCCAAAAACCAAACCAACCCGGACCGAGCTCACGCATAATACATTCCCAATTAACCATATCCATTAAAATACAAATGAACAACCCAAATAAACTCTCCACCTATCAAACCATATATGAAATGTTCCACATATTCAAAAGACACGACAAATTTTCAAACTTCCACCTAATCAAAACGACAAGTTTCAAAATGATTAACATCCCCATTGTAGAAATCAAGAACTTCTCGAACAAGAAAGAAGTTAGAGAGAAGAGGACAGAATGTAGAGAGAGAGAGAGAATTGTAATAAACTGATTTTCATTACTTGATAATGTTATTACATTTGAGAGTATATATAGCCATTGGCTTTTGTACAACAATACCCTTATCTAACTATAACGAATTACATGCTATACCACTACTCATCTCAACTAATCCTTTACTGTTATAACAGACTAACAGTTTTAGATGCTGAGGCATTTGCCTCAATACACCCCCTCAAGCGAACATTGGACTCTGCAAGAGTGCCAATCGGAAGCTTGGTTTTCAAGTAACAAAACCTGGTTTTGGACAAAGACTTAGTGTAAATATCAGCCAACTGGTCTTCACTACAAACAAACTGAACTTTGATAAGATGTGCAAGAACTAACTCTCGAATATAGTGATAATCGATTTCAACATGTTTAGTTCGAGCATGAAAAACAGGATTTGAAGCAAGGGAGATAGCTGAGATATTGTCACACCACAAAGTAGGAATAGAACGGAGAGGAAAGCCAATATCATGAAATATTTTGCATATCCAGGTAAGCTCAGTAGCTGTGTGTGCCAAGGATCGATACTCAGCCTCTGTGGAGGATCGAGCTACAGTAGCTTGTTTCTTTGCACTCCAGCTGATTAAGTTTGAACCAAGAAAAACACTATAATCACTAGTGGATCGGCGATCAAAAGTGCAGCCTGCCCAATCGGCATCAGAGTATGCAGTAAGATGCAAATGACTCTGCATAAACCAAATACCTTGAGAGA